GCATTAGCAGCAATAAAGCAGTTTGTTTTCATAAAGCATTGAATTCTGGTGTGTTTTACTTGTGCTGCACGTTTTCAAGAACCTGCCCACAATCAAATTGCCAATCAAGTAAATCAAGATTAGCTTTGCCCTCAGTGGGTATATTACCATTGGCATCTAAAATGGAATGATTTCTATTTGGATTCCTTAATAAAGTCACCGAGTGGGGCACCAGAAGCAGGTCACATAAGTCACATGGGAACTCCACTCCAAAAACCGATTGTATTTCTCACATGTTGCAATAAGGTACTTCCAGTTTCAAACACTTTGAGACTCCCCCACCCACCCCCGACAACGTGAAAGTTGTCTAAATGTACATTGTATTATTTTGTATTGTATTTCCTTTCTTACAGAATCCCTTTAAAAATTGCTCACTTTTAAACCTTATTATGATCTTTAGCTGAGTTCATCACTGCATTATGTGTCTTTGGTGCATCAGTTGACTCATCACAAGTGTTCAACAACAACAACTTGCATTTATGTCACGCTCTTTACGCTAGACAGGATCCCAGAGCTCTAAAGTAAGTATTCACTAAGCTTCACTAAGCATTGCTACTTACAAACTGATTTATTCTGCTATTGATCCATACAATTTAAGCACTCTGAGACGCTACCCTGCGTGGAGGGCGCTATGTAAGTGCAAGGTGTCGTTGTTGTATATTTAGTTATAATTAGTTTATGAAACATTTTGAAATAAAATAGCACAGATATGCAGTAAATGAGGTAGGTTTTTACAGTTCCCTGGCACAAAATTTGTTCAGATAAATTGGTCATTCACTTCACTGTGGGATATTGATAGCACAAATAGTTGCTGTGTTTACCTACAAAAGACTAATTGAGCCATGACTGTAATTATTTATAAAGCGCTTTGAATTATTTTGATGTGATAACTTGCTGTAAAATGGAAGTTCTTTCTAGGATTTGAAATTGCATACTTTGGTTAGTCTTTGAGCAGGTGAATTGAATCTTTAACAATTATAAGCTAAATTGGTCATTCACTTCAGGGCTGTTTTGGGGACATTGTGTGCAAATTGGCTGCTGCTTTTGCTCACAAAATACTGTCACATCACTTGACAATAAGTACTTATGAAGGTTTTTGAGGTACTAACATTTTACTGTCCTGCTTGTGGGGGTAGTGGAGGAAAGCTAGTCTCCTTGTAACTGAACTGACTCCAAAGTGACATGTTTAGCAATGGAATGTTGGAACCCAGTCCACCCTCTTTGGTGGTCTCAGTAGTCCAGTTCCTGAGCCAGGAGGGTCTGCAGTATTCCAGGGCACTGTTGATGACAGCACAGCTCATCGGCAGACTTGAAAGGACAGACCAGTCACTAATTCCAGGGAATCCTCCCACTCAACTCCTGTTAACCTAACTGGACAAACAAGGGGGAAACCTTGCCAGGCAGTGCTCTCAATGACAAGCTATGCGATTTTAGCTAGTTAGACTCCAACAACAACAGCATCAAACAACAACAAATTGCATTTATAAAGCACCTTTCACTTTGGGAGGATATCCCAAGGCGCTGGGCGTTGAAGGAGGCAAAGCAGAGGGGCTCCATGGGTGGGGGCAGAAAGGCTAAAGACCCAACTTCCAATGGTGGAGCGGGCAGGGGATGGGATATGGAGCAGGCCAGTGCCCACCGAGCAGAAGGAGCAGACAGATTAGTAGGGTTTTAGGACTCACAGATAGGGCAGAGCAAGACCATGGAGGGCTTTCAAGGTGAGAAGAATTTTAAACTCGATCCTCTGGGGGACGGGGAGCTAGTGAAGCCAGGTGAGGATAGGAGTGATCAGCTCACTGACCTTCATGTGAGAGAGGACACGAACTGCAGAGTTCTGAATAATCTACAGCTTGTGGAAGGAGGAGTTGGGAAGACCAGCGAGCGGGGAGTTGGCGTAGTCAAGCCTAGTCAACTTACAGTGTGGATGAGAGTCTCGGCAGCCTGAGAGGAGAGGTAGTTGCAGAGGCGGGCAACATTGGGAAGGTAGGGGAAGGCAGAACAGGTTATGGCACAGGTTTAAAAGACAGCTGAGAGTTGAACGAGACACCAAGGTTCCGGACTGGCTCAGTGAGGTGTTGTGTTATCCATGAATAGCGATGCTGTCAGCTCCTGTGGTGTGGAGGCGCTGGCGGGTGCCAATCAGGAGAGCCTCGGTCTTGTTAACGTTCAACAGTAGAAAGTTAGCTCTCATCCAGGACTTGATGTCTGTCAGACACTCTGTCAGGATAGGATCGGTCCTGGAGTCGAGGGTAGAGGCAGAGAGATAAAGAGTTGGGTGTCATCCATATATATGTGAAGTTAACCCCATACAGATGACACCACAGCCAGGGGGGCTCCAGCAAACCACTATGCACACGCTGGGGTCCCTAAGCCTTGGCTTTTGCCAACATGAGCCTAATACTCTCCATAAAGCGTTTTGGCATTTATAATTGATATTTTCCCCAAATGTGAAAAACGCTACGAAATCCAGATTATTATGATGCTTTTTCTGCCTCTGTGCACTTGATTTTTTTNATATATGTTTTTACCCATGTAGATGACCCGCTTCCAACTATCCTGATCCCAGAATAGATAAGATACATAAAATAATCAACTAGCTCTCCTTATCCTTGCAATCTCTTCAAACATATGAAAAAATGATTAATGCATTAAAATAAGCACTAAATTGTATCGTGCTGAAATACAATCATCCTTTCATTTTCATTATTCAATATTCATGAACAGGCCCACTCACCATTATTAAACGTACAAAATCCTAATCTGATGCACAATCAAAACAAGTTTTAAAAAGAGCCCCTGTGAAACAGAACAAAAGCCAGACTATTCATTAAATCTGAAGGTTATAAACAATTCCTTGCATTTTTACCCATACAGTTTAGGTCACCCGAAATGAATCATCTTTCTTTGGTGACATAAGTGGTTGTGCCGCATAAATAAACCCAGTAAACTTATCAGCCATGCTGCACAGCTGAATTCTAGAAAATGACAAACCATTTTGCAGAGATAAATCATTAGTTATGATGGACGTCTGGAGTCCGAGCCTGAAGCTACTTACATTTTTCTCCCAATTTCAACCATTTAAAACTTATTATAAACTGTTCACTGTTGTATAATGCACTTTGTCATTTCACTTCTATTTTCAATCACATTTTTGTAATATGCAAGGTTTCTCCCGCACGCTTTTCTCTGCTCGGTTTAGCATTTATTATCAGGTCACCTTTAGGAAGCCCATTTCAACGCAACATTCTGCACGCAATTAAAGTAAAAACAATTGGAATAAATAGTAATTTCTAATGATTCATTTTATTTAGTAAATTAAATTATGTAATGTGAGTGAGGGAAAAATGATCCATACAAGACATTGCACATATGCAAAATTAAGCATTTCTTAAAATTTTTAAGTTAGATGATTTCTAGAAGGGATTATGCAGTTCTGGCATGTAAATCAGTTTGATCAGGAAATGCATTGTAGAAACCACAATAACTGTGGATAATGTATTCCTCTATGTGGGTGTTTTCATCAATGTAGAATGCTGCTATAGAAGAAATATTAGACTTTACGTCTATCTACAAAGATTATATTAAGTATCCAATTCCACATTTCAGAACCAACTTTCACCTACAGTTGGGAATAGTGTTTACAAAACAATAACACATCAAAGACTTAAGTGACATCATAAACTGCACGGACGACTCAACAACAAAATTACATTTGTGTAGCGCCTTTCACGTCGGGAGGATGTCCCAAGGCGCTGGTCAATCAGTGTTTCGGACCCGAGCTGGGGATTGGGATAGGGGAGGGTGGAGGACATGGGAGAGAAAAGGAGGGTGACCGAAGGCACGGTCGAAGAAGAGGGTCTTGAGACGAGCCTTGTAGGAGGCAAGGGAGGGGGTGAGGCGGAAGGACTGCAGGATGCTGTTCGAAATGGTGAGGGCAGAGTGGCTGACTCAAGTAGTTTATCAACATTATTCTGAACCCTGAGATGTGCTTTACCCTTGAAGCAAATTTCTTTATTAATAGGTGGCATACATGTGGTGATAAATTTAAATTTTAGTGAGACTTTTTTTGCTATTAACAGGTATTAAAAACCTACCACAAGCAAAAGTAAAGTTCATCTAACACAATAATCCCTTCCACAAAAAATATCTCCTCTCCAGCTCATTATTAAACAAATGCATAATTTTTAAAATCTCATCCACAATCAAAACCGCAGTAAACCAGTCTGATAAAAGAGCCCCTATGAAACAAAACATAAACCATTCATTAATTCTGAAGCTTTATCCTTTGTCCAGCACATGATAGAGTGCATTTAAACCACATTAATATCTCAATGATTAGATTGTGTAGTTCAGGATGTCAAATCAACCCCTTGTTCCCTTGCAAGCTCCAGCTTACCTTACACAACTTACATAAATATAGTGCCACTTGGGAGGACAAAGTGATTGTGTGTGTTGGAGGGGGAGGTGGGGGGAAGAGAGGCAGAAGGAGTCCAGGATGGAGGTCCAGAGAGTGAGGGCAAATGGTTGAAAGCTCCTCCACCGATGGTGAAGTGGATCAGGTGGGGAACATACAAATGGAAGTTCAATATTAAGAGCCCATTTGACCCTCAATTTGAGCCATTTCTCACCATTAATTTCAATTTAGAAAAAAAATTTGAAAAAGTGGCTGAACTGTTAATTATCCATATTGTTGAGGTATTTATAAAGTGAAGTTCAACTGTAGTAACCTAGATAATAAAGGAAATTGGCAAATAGTGCATGGTAAACATGGAAGGGAATTCATTTTCTTTAAAATAGTGGAGATGCAAACACAATTACACTTATTTTATTTAATGCAACTTGTAATGGTAAAATTCAATGAAAACCTACAGTGGCATTGTATACGAAAATTTCCCTTAATGTACTTTTCAAACTAATTGTAAAGCAGATGCATAAAGGATCATTAAAATCAAAATCCCTTGAATCTTGGTAGCAAAGAATTTATTTTATTACAAAAAAATGGTGCTATGACCAGCAACATACAAAATGGATTCATTGTTTGCATTTGTACAAAAGTATCTGAAGATTTATGTTTTATTGAATTACACCAATCCATCTCAACAGACATACATTAAATCAATCCCATTCAATCCGATCAAAATACATCTGAAACGAAAGTCACTACTTCCTTAATACCCAGTTGTTTTCCAGTCTTGTCCAGTAGGGAAAATGCCATTCTTTTGAAGCACTGAATTTAAGAATCTTTATTCCTCAGTTAAATGAGCCCCATCTGTTCACGTCTTGGAAAGTGAAGGCAGTATATTTTCAAACAAGGAAGCAGCCGTGTCCAGCTACGTAGGCGGATGATCTTCACACCGGATAGCTCGATATTTGGACATTTCTTCAGGGAAAACTTTGCTCAGTTCGTGAATCAGAAGCCCTTTGAATTTCTAAAATAAAAAAACACAATTCAGAACTTGTCACAAACATTATTCCACCATTAAAAATGAAGGCTGGCAGAACATTTTTGTCTAAACGCAACTGAAAGCATACGGCTTTCCTTTCAGTTTTCTCCAATTACAGCTTCTCTTACCTCCGACTCCATTCTTCAAAGCCAAAACACCTACAGCTATCAGGGATTGAGCAAGCAACCTGCCAAAGCTGTTCTTTTTGGTGAATTAGAAAGCACACACGTATAGCCAGATGAAGATGGAATATTCAGTTTTTCCTCACTTAAATTCAACATTAGTCTAGATTATTTTTTGTTCCTGTTTAAGAGTATCCAAACCGAACTGAGAATTCCATGCATTCCACCTACGATTGGCAATCCCAGAGATAGAGTGTCAGAATGGAATGCGGACTCTCTCCCTGGAGGCACGTATCCTGCTTACCTAATTCCAGAAACTATTAGGTGCTGGTTGGCATAAACCAAGGCTTGGTGACCCCAGAGTTTGCATTGGGGGTAACTGCTGGAGTCTAACCAACTTAAGTCTAGACAATGCTGTTGAGAGCACAAGCTCAGTAGGGTCAAAGGAAGAAGAGGAAAATAAATCTGCATCTCTCCATATTATCTCAAAAAGGTTCTGAAATATCCTGCAAGATAAATTGGACATTATTCATGCCATTTGAGGATAGAGTTCAAAATCCTCATCCTCACCTTTAAGGCTCTCCACGGCCTTGCTCCTTCCAACCTCTGTGACCAACTAACCCCATATCAACCTGTTCCTTCCCTCCGCTCAGCAGGCTGTGGCCTGCTCCACATCCCCGGCCCACCCCAAGGTCGGGCCTTGAGCTTCGCTGCCCAAGCCCTTTGGAATTCCATCCCATAGTCCCTTTGTCTTGTTCCCTCGCTTGCCTGCTTGAAAGCACGTCTCAAGAGACTCCTCTTCGACCATCCTCCTACCCCTATCCTCCCTTCCCTCCAGCCTGCCTGATCCCAACCACCTGCTCAGGTCCAAATCCCTGAATGTCCAGCACCTTAGGAAATCCTCCAGACATGAAAGACGCTATACAAATGTAATCTGTTGTTGTTACAGGAATCTCTTTACCACAAAGAAAGTTTAATTTTGACTCGCCTCTGCACACAAACTTGAAGCAAAGGTTCTTTTGTTGGATTAATACAGTAAACTCCCAAAGTCCTGACATGGAGCTTGACATGGAAAAGGATTCAGTGATGAGTTACCCAGTGTAGCGAGTTAGTCATGTGTATAAATATATATATAAATGCAGCTGGGATTTTGACAGTTACAATATAACTCTTTCCTCTACTGCAATGCGACTGGTTAAAAAGTCCATTGCTCCCTCCTTTCACTGCATTTATTGTAGAAAACTATGTAACCACATCCTCACTATCCATAGGGATTCCAACTGAAGTGAAATGAAGTTATGATGTTGGCAAAAACATTTAATTGTGCACTTGTGTATATGATACCAGGTGTGTCATTTTGCCCAATTGGGACTGTGAAGCAGCAGCACAAAGTAGAGATCCAATCCAGGTGAATACAGGATTAGAGAAAGAGAAACGCATGCATACATGCACTTAAAGGCAATAGGGAGCCTGAGAGAGAAAGAGGCATGTGCATGAACACACAAGACTTGATGACCCATTACCATACTATTTTCATTTCAATAATGGGGCCGCTCCCAACTTGTGACCCATTCCAACTCCCTCATTCATACGGCAACTGTTCATACATCTACCTTGTAATGTAAATAAATACATGATAATATATATATATACCTACAAAATTAATAGAGGAGGAAAGGAATTTCAGTCTGAGCATTCCACTAAAGTGTTCCAGATAATATGAATAAAGTGAATCAAATACAGGAATACAATTTGGATAAGTCAAAGCAAATCATTCAATGCTTGTACAGAATAGATACTAGTCAGGACATATATTGTGTGCAGCTATGGGCAACCAAATCTAAAAAGAACCTGGAATCATTCAGAAGTTCAATGCATATCCCACCTTGTTGCACACCTTATAGAATCCGAAAGAGAATTTAGGAGGAACACTGGCATGGACCGATTGGGCTGAGTACCGTACATTCTTTGTAAACATTGCAAATGATTCTGAGAATCAGTGTTCTTAAATTATGAGTATAGTCAAGGGCTGAATTTGCAGTCATTTAAGGAATGTAGTCTGAACACATCCATTACCAAAGTTCAAACTCAGAATGGGGGCAGGATAAGGAGCGGGGAAGGAATGACCTCATGGCTTAGTGATCTGTGATCTGAGGTTTATTTTGCTAATTACAAGACTTGTTCAAGAATCTTTATTGCTTGCAATAAATTCCTTAAATTACCTTCAAAGTGTCAATTTTGCCTTTGACTTGTTCATTCTTTGCCAAAGCTCTTTCTAAGCACTCTTTGGTATAAAGCTGAGGATTTCGGCCTTGATCAATGTACCTGTTTCAAAAGGAGAAAAATAAGAGTTAAATTATATACTGCATACAATTTTTTCTAACATGCTTCTAATTATGTCCTGAGAATACTGTGCAAAGAAAATGGTAACCCTCATCCAGAACTGAGATGACGGAATTTGCCTAATAATAGGAAGGAATAAAAGTTGCCATTTTTAATTTCGAAAAACCACGACAGTATCCTCAAATGATTTGCATTTTGTTTTTAGAATGGTAAGACATCCAAGCCTGCCACTGCGTGGTAGGGTGCAGGTTTAAGTCAATTTCCCACAGGATGAATTCCTATTTTCAGATCTGCCAACATTAAGCAATTTGACATAAGGGCAGTGGGGAGAGAAGACTGAAGGGCCGTTTACATTATCATAACAATATCTGCGATCAAGATGTCCTTGTGCCCCAGACATTACATGACATTATACTCTGGGGTCATTCCCTGCTCAGCAGTAAACTTATCAAACTTTTGCCAAATCTACCAGCAAATTTTAAAACAACAGCTAATATCCTAACAATTTTTACCAATGCACAAGTAAGAGCTGAATGGAAAACTGTCACCTGAAACTCAGCATTCACCCAGTCAAATATCCCATCATATTTTTATGCATTTCTCTCCTACTCTAGCATGTGCTTTGGATTCACTTCTTACTTATATACCCATGTGTCCTGGAGTAAACAGTAGTATTGACAGACAAGTGTGAGAAATATAAATACAATCAGAACTGGATTTTTTTGTTTTCAGAAAGAACAGATAACTTAACAGCAAAACATCAGGACATCCACCTCTCAACCAAACAGATGTGGGTTTAGATCCCAAGATTACCAGTTCTAAATGTGTATTTTATCTGGTTGTTAATCTCTGTGCGTCATTATTTTGAAATATTCAGGAATGGGGAATTGTCCAATATTGAATCATAGCTGTCCCCCCTCCCCTCACACACACATATATTAAGGAAGATGCACAGTGCTGAATACCTTCATGGAGAATGAAAACTAGAAGCGCGATTCTCTGAAGGTTGGTTAATTTATTAACAGAGAATATCCTATTATCTATAAAACGTACAGTGGAAAATACAATAATCTTCACTGCAATAACTTCTATAGAAAAATCTTTAATTAATAATATTGTACTGAATTCAACAGTTTCAACTGTATTGACTTGCAGCTTTGCAAGAACATTATTTAGAGGTGAAAAATCATCATAGCATCTATCCTAGTGCAAACAGCATATGGCAAAGATACAACAATGCCTGCTGTAATCAACACTTAACACCAGTTAATGACAAAATGTCAACCGTATTTTTGTTAAAACAAAATCTACACAATATCCAATACTCACTCAAAAACCTCCAGTGGTACATTGATATCATGCAACTGCTGTCTGCATTTGTCAACATCTTGTAGCCCTGTGATCATAGAATTTCTGCAAATCAAATAGAAAGTTACTATTTTAATAGAAGATTGTCACTTTTAATTACAAAATTTTGTGAAACATTATTGGGTAAGAGAAAGCTTTTGTAATACGTGGATTATTCAATATGGCTGCTGACATAAAGCAAGTTTTGTCTTACATTTATTTGGCACAAAATTAACTCTGTGAAACCTGCTGCCAAGTTAAAATGGAATTTAATAATTTTTCAAAATTCTACTGAAACCATGAGAAACTTTAGGCCACTGATTCGATTCTGAATCAATTTGCATTAAATATTATGCTTTGATCAAGATTCCATAGCGTGATATGAATTTATTTTTACTTTTATCACCACCCCTTCCCCAAGCGCCATTTCTCACAGAGTTTGACTCTGTTACCGTTCTACTTGGTACTTTCGTGGACACCATAGTATTGTCTCACCAAAGTGAGGCTTTTGCACTACAAGGACATCACAGCTTGGTCTGATCCTGTCTTTAGTTATGCTCACAATGGTGTATCTTAAGCGTGGGGTCACTGTATAGTCAAGAATAGAAGCACTCACTAATTCTCCTCTCTGTCGTACGTGGTTCTGAGGCTGATTATAATGCCCCAAGAGATCAGCTAACAAGACAGACCAGGAACCTTTTCCGCAAAGCACTTGCTGGATAAATTGGCTGAGCCATCAAAGGTTTGCTGCACTAGGCTTCAATGTTTGGGTCAGCTACAATCTTATCTGCAGGCATCCACTGAAAACATTATATTTCTGTGACATTAAATGAAGTTTTTAGTACTGCAACAAAACCACCAAATTGTCTTTAAAGCTGCTTCGATATACTTATTCGGGAACTCTGTAAGGTGAAGGTGATATTAAATTTATTTATACCGAGACAAATTTGACACAACCAGCAACATTAGTCAAAAAGCTACATCTGAACTTACAAACACTGAGCTGTTTCAATGTCACATTTAAAACTTGCTTTCGGGTAACTGACCATCCATAATCTCGAGGAAAAACACAAACCATTATGCTATAAAGGGCTGAGATTTCAGATAGTGGCAGACCCCCATCCCAATTTGGATACGAAGAGCAGGGAAAATTATGTCTCAAGATGATAATATTTGAATTGCCAAATAATGCTATAAAATGGGCAACTAAACGCTCAATAAAAGAACAGAACGGGGACATTTGGCTCAACAAACCCATCACTTTTCATCGATCTGAACATGAACAGAACTAGATAGCGATGTGGTCCATTTCCTTTTTGATAGATAACATTTACACAGAGATTGATGTCTGTAATAACTTTACAGATTATTGAAGAGTAATCTGTAATTGATGGCCATAAAATTGCCTAACTGGTACATATTGCGTAAAAATGAATAGATGAGAAAACGCTGAAGGGATTCAGATGTCATCAAAAACTAAAATTAAAGTTAATTTCATCTATCCTTCTCACCCTTTATTTGTCATACAGAAGGATTTCTACTGAAACTCTCTAACTCCAATTTTGCTTTCATTTCCCTTTAAACACTAATTTCTTAAACAGCTTCAAGTCATCAGCTCACTTTCACTTTCACAGATGCAAATCCCCAAAGCAAACATGACACAATTTTCCATTCAGTGCATCTGTGGCACTTCGGAATATAGGAACAAGAATTTCCAACTGGTCTATGGTCCATTTCTATTCCATTTGGACTTCCAATCAGTTTATCTCATAGACTACAGCATTTTCTTTCTTAGTCTCTTTAGGAGCCTGCACAGACAGTGCTGAATTGACCCTCTATTTTATGCATGGATCAAAAACCACTTACACATGATTCCGTTTTTGAGAAAGACCTTCCTAATTAATCATAAATCAAAATAAATCAAAGTATTCTAGTGGTATAATATCAAGTAAATTCAATTACAGGAAGCCACTGCATTGTAATTCTAAACTGTAAACTTGTGGAAACACACTTGGTGTCAATTGTCCATAAATAGTATATTGTGCACACACTTTGCCTGAGTTGAAATCTATCTCTGCATATGTTCTCCAAGCAATTTATTCCACGCATACAACATATTGTGTGTCCACTTATATGTCTATTTTATATATGTGGTTTGTTTGGGTCCATAAGAACATAAAAACATAAGAATGTGCTAAGCGAAAGAAGACCATGGTCAATCCAGTTCACCTTCCACCATCCTGGCAGTTGTATGTATATGTTGTGTTCCAAACTATATATTGTATCCCGAGATATTATTTCCTAACAGAAATCTATTTAATTTGTTCTTGAAAGAATCAATACTTTCTGCTTTCATCTCCCTGGGGAACCTGTTCCATACATTTACTACCCGCTCACTGAAGGAGTGTTTCCGCAGATTTGTTTTGAACAGGCATGTCACACGTTCACATCTGTTACACATGCGCAATACATAGGTGTACACTTTTGGAATATGCATTCTGTTTGGTGTCGATGTGTCAATCATATCAGATACACTTGTGCAGTGCATTTAAGTATAAGCTCATAGCGCTTGCTATTACGTTGGCAGTCATCATTTACTATATTTTTATTCAAATAATGTACCTAAACACGCACTCCAATATATATATATAGGTATATATAGGACATACACATACTCTGTATACATGCACACATCCTCTCCCTAGACCCTCTTCTCTCCCCCTCTCTCTGTGTACACCTTCTCCTTCTGTGAACTCTGTCACTCCCTCTTCCCATATCACTCTCTCACACCTTCTGTCTTTCTGTCACACTCTCTGTCTCTCACTATCTCAGCTCTCTCTCTGTGTCTCAGTCTCTCCCTCACTCTTTCAGTGTGTCTCTCTCAGCCACTCTCAAGAGTTTCTCAACCACAAACGTACAACAAAATTACATTTGTATGGCGCCTTTCACATTGGGAGGACGTACCAAGGCATTGGACAGTCAGAGTTTTGGACCCGAGCTGGGGGTTTGGGATCAGGGAGGGTGGAGGGCTGGGTGATCGAAAGCACGGTCGAAGAGGAGGGTCTTGAAATGGGTCTTGGAGGAGGCAAGGGAGGGGGCAAGGCGGAGGGACTGCGGGATGGAGTTGCAGAGGGTGGAGGCAGAGTGGCAGAAAGCCTGCCCGCCAATGGTGGGGCGACCGAGGCGGGGGACGTGAAGCAGGCTGGAGACAGCTAAGCGGAGGGTGCGAGCAGGATGGTAGGTTAAGAGATCGCAGAGGTAGGGTGGAGCAAGACCATGGAGGGCTTTGAAATGAGGACCAGGATCTCTGTGTGATGGGAAGCCAGTGGAGTTGGGCGAGGATGGGGGTGATAGGGTCGCGGAGCCTGGTGCGGGAGAAGACACGGGCTGCAGAGTTCTTGATGATCTGCAGCCTATGGAGGGAGTTGGGGAGTCCGACAAGCAGGGAGTTTGCATAGTCAAGCCTCGATGTAATGAATCCGTGTATGAGGATTTCGACAGCCTGGGGTGTGAGACAGTGGCGGAGCCGGGCGACGTTGCAGAGGTGGAGGAAGGCAGAGCCGGTCATGGCAGAGATGTGCGATACAAAGGGATAGTTGAGGGTCAAGCAAGAAGCCAAGGTCCTGGACCGGCTTAGTAAGGTGGAGTGTGCGACCATGGAGGTGATGCTGTCAGTGCCTGAGGTGAGGAGGCGCTGACGGGAGCCAATCAGGAGGGCCTCGGGCTTGTTGACGTTCAACTGAAGAAAATTTGCTCTCATCCAGGACTTGATGTCTGACAGACATTCTGTCAGCACAGCTGAGAGTTTCAGACTCTCTCACACAGTTTCTCAGTCTCTCTCTCTCTCATAGTCTCTCTCTCTCTCAGTCTCTCTCTCTCTCTCTCTCTGTCACAGTCTCTCTCTCTCTCTCTCTCAGTCTCTCCCTCTCAGTCTCTCCCCCTCTCTCTCTCACACAGCCTCTCTCTCTCTCACACACAGTCTCTCTCTCTCTCTCACACAGTCTCTCTCTCTCTCTCTCTCCAGTCTCTCTCTCTCTCTCACACAGTCTCTCTCCTCTCTCTCTCACACACAGTCTCTCTCTCTCTCTCACACAGTCTCTCTCTCTCTCTCTCAGTCTCTCTGTCTCTCACACGGTATCTCAGTCTCTCACAGTTTCTGGTTCAGTCCCGCTTGGCTGCTGGGCTGGAAATCACTGACGATGATGCCGAGCTGCCGGATGTTCTCGATGAATTTCTCCAAATGTTCCTCCAGGTTGTCAAACTTGTCCGCCATGTTGGCCTCCCCTCTCCTCTCCCTCAATCCCCCGCGGCCTGGCCTGGCCTCCCCTCCCCGCTCTCCCCGCGGCCTGGCCTGGCCTCCCCTCCCCGCTGTCCCCGCGGCCTGGCCTGGCCTGGCCTCCCCTCCCCTCTCTCCCCGCGGCCTGGGCCTGGCCTGGCCTCCCCGCTGTCCCCGCTGTCCCCGCGGCCTGGCCTCCCCGCTCTCCCCGCTGTCCCCGCGGCCTGGCCTGGCCTCCCCTCCCCGCTGTCCCCGCGGCCTGGCCTGGCCTCCCCGCTGTCCCCGCGGCCTGGCCTCCCCGCTCTCCCCGCTGTCCCCGCGGCCTGGCCTGGCCTCCCCTCCCCGCTGTCCCCGCTGTCCCCGCGGCCTGGCCTCCCCTCCCCGCTGTCCCCGCGGCCTGGCCTGGCCTCCCCTCCCCGCTGTCCCCGCTGTCCCCGCGGCCTGGCCTGGCCTGGTCTGGCCTCTCTGCCTGTCGGTGTATCTCCCCCCTCAGCAGGGCCGCCGGCTTCAGGCCGCCATGATGGTCGCGCTGAATGCTGGTCTACAGGAGGACACGGGGGGAGTCCTCCCGCCCTCACTGAGTCTGCGCGAGGTGCCCGCTGTCAGCTGGTGAGCCACACAGAGGTCACTGAAGGTCACAGGGTTGGTCTGGTTCAGCACAGCCCCTGGACCCATCTCATCTCATCTCATGCCTCCACATTGCCCCCCATACCACCCCCTCCCCTCTCGGCACAGCATCAAACTGCTTTTTACTGGCCGTGACTCGGCCACAATTCCTGGCATCTCACTGTCTCACTGCATTACGCTTCTGTGCCCCGTGTTACACAGTTAATTATTATTATTATATTATTATTGTTATTACACCTACCGTGGGGGAGGTTCAGAATGGGGAAAGCCCTTCGGCCTATTCAATCTCATCCTTCCATAAAACCCTCCCGACCTTCACAGCGTTAAGCTGTTTTTATATTATTAATAATTATAATAATAACCCACAACAACTACAGCTTGCATTCAGTATATATAGCTCTATAATGTCTAACAGCGCATCCTGCATTAGACGGAGCATGTCATCAAATCATTTCTAGTATGATTATTGGGACACACCACCATACCGATCTGCTATCAACTTTGGTGAAGTCTTTTTGGTCAGCCAGGTTTCTGACACATGAGGAAACCTATCACCACGCTTACGAGTATCCAAATATTGGTTCCCACAAATATTAACAACCTCATCCAATGGGTTATTCTTCATTTTTTAGTATAGACAGTGAATAGACAGACTATTCAACCACAATAAGGGATACCATAATTCCACGTCACTTATTGTTCATAGACTTGTACTTCCAGCAAGGTTACCGGATTACAATCAGGAGCAGCAAATCTGGCAACCCTTTTTTTGTAACCCACTCGCCCTAGCTCTGGCCTGTTGATACCAACTGTATTACCCTGACCACTGCCCTAGCTGAGATTACCTAACACCCCACAGACCTGGAAAGTCTTAACTTTATAGAATCATAGTATCATACAGCACAAAAAGAGGCCATTCAGCCCATCAGGTCTGTGTCGGCTCTTTGAAAAAGAGCAATGTAATGTCAATCCCACTCCCCAGCCCTTTCCCCATAACTCTGCAAACCCGTCCTCCTCAAATACCCATTCACCACGTTTTTAAAAGCAGTTATCGAATCGGCCTCGGCCACCCTTTCAGGCAATGTGTTCCAGATTCAAACAACTCGCTGCATGAAAAAATTTCTTCTCACCTCCCTTCTGCTTCTTTTAGAGACTATTTTGAATCTGTGACCTCGAGTCACCAACAAACCCACCAGTGGAAACAGTTTTTCCCTTTCTAACCTATGCAATCCCCTCATGATTTTGAAGACCCCTATTAGACCTCCTCGTAACCTTCTCTGCTCCAATGAGAATAATCCCAGCCTCTCCAGCCTTTCCTCATAATCAATGTCCCTCATTCCTGGTACCATTTTTGTAAATCTCCTCTACACCCTTTCCAATGCCTTAACATCCTTCCTATAGTGCGGTGCCCAGAACTAAGCGCAGTATTCTAACTGAGGCCTAACCAGTGTTTTATATAGGTTAATCATAACCTCCTGACTCTTGTACTCTATGCCCCTATTTAAAATGCCTTGTATCCCATATGCCCTTTTTACAGCTTTATCTAGTGCACCTTCAAGGATTCATTTACCTGCACCCCCAGGTCTCTCTGTTCTTTTACCCCCCCTTAAGATTGTATTACCAGCCTATATTGCCTCCCCTCATTCTTTCTACCAAAATACATTACCTCGCATTTCTCCACATTGAAACTCATCTGCCATGTGTTGGCTACTATCCTTCTCACTGTTTACTACCCTACCAAACTTTGTGTCGTCCGCAAACTTGGAAATGGTACTTGTTATACCCAAGTCCAGATCATTTATGTATATTAAGAAGAGCAGTGGTCCTAATACCGATCCCTGGGGGACGCCACTGTACACTTCCCTCCAGTCAGAAAAGCAGCCGTTCACCACAACTCTCTGCTTTCTGTCTCCCAGCCAGTTCTGGATCCATGCTGCCACTGTCCCTTTTATACTGTGGGCTTCTATCTTTCTTACAAGTCTTTCATGTGGCACTTTGTCAAATGCCTTTTGAAAGTCCATATAAACTACATCAATGCACTACCTTTATCCACCTTCTCCGTTAACTCATCGAAAAATTCTATTAGATTTGTTAGACAAGATTTGCCTTTAACAAATCCATGTTGGCTGTCCCTAATTAACCCATATTCTTCTAAGTGAAGATTTATTCTGTTCCGGATTATAGTCTCCAGGAGTTTCCCCACTACTGATGTTAGGCTGACTGGCCTGTAGTTCCCAGGTTTGTCCTTCTGTCCCTTTTTGTACAGGGGAGTCACATTGGCCACTCTCCAGTCCTCTGGCACCACTCCTGTGTCCAACGAAGATTGAAAAATTGTAGCCAAAGCCTCCGCTATTTGTACCCGTGCCTCCCATAGTACCCTTGGCTGCATCCCGTCCAGACCGGGCGACTTATCTACCTTCAGCCCAGTCAACCTTTTCAGTACTTCCTCTCTGTTTATACTTATCCTATCCATTTCCTCTACCCTCTCCTCCGATACTGCGGCATTTGGTCATCCACTTCTTTTGTGAAGACAGATGCAAAGTGTTCATTCAGTACATCAGCCATGTCCTCTGCCTTCACAATACGATTTCCACCTTGGTCCTTGATTGACCCCACCCTACCTTTGACTAACCTTTTTTTCTTGATATGTTTGTAAAATATTTTAGAATTCCCTTTGATGTTACCCACTAACCTTTTTTCGTATAATCTTTTTGCCCCTCTTATTTCCTTTTTCAGTTCTCTACTGCACTTCCTATATTCTATTTGGTTGTCTTCTGTATCTTGGGTTTGACATTTGTCATACTTTAAAGCCTTTACTTCAAAGTATTTAGACCCTCGCTCCCCCCCCCCCCCCCCCCCCCTCCCACCACCACCTTGACTCAAGGATTTATCCGCTGAGTAGAGGAACTAAACAGACCTGGAACATCCCAACCAAGTTAAACCCCCAATCCGTACGGAGTACAATTGCCCTCAGCACCCCAATTCAGGAGGAAAAAATTCAAGTACAGCTCATTACCATTTGCTATTGAGAAACTATCCAGGTGTGCATGTGTGAGGGTAGAATTGGATTCAGTGCAGTATCCTAAAAGATGAGAAGCCTACCGACATCAACCATTGATACTCAAACATAAAGAATAGCAACTTGGGAAAGGTAATGGAGACTGACCTGGTGGCAATGGACACTGACCCTGGAACTGTACCTCTGATAGAAGGAAAAAAGGAGACAGTACACAGGAAAAAATATAGTGAATAGAAATATGTTCTTACCTCTGTGATTTATTTCTGTAATGTATGCAAAAATTGAATGATGGACACAGGTGGTAACTTCAAAGCCCACAGAAAAAGATCGATATTCAATGTTTATAAAAATTTAAAGTGTTCTCAGAGCTCTCTAATGAGCTTTGTACCCACTGAATAGATAATCTCTCACCAGTGGCAGTGAAGCTGGTGTTCCTTCACTTCTGTGGAAGATTGGCATAACTCATGCATGCCTACAGCACTTGTGAGTTATGAGCATGTCAGAGTTACGAAAGAACCAACATGAGTCACCTGCAAAAACAAAATAACACTGCAACAATACCCACCATCCCAATACTGCTTCTGTTTCTCCAGTGTCCAAAAATCCCTCAAATAAAATTGGTTATTCACTTGATGGCTGTTCGTGGGACATTGCTGGGTCAAATTGCATACCACAATCGCTTACAAAAGAGACTAAACATTATGGTAAATGTGTTCAGCCTGGCACAGTGAGTAGCACTCTCGCCTCTGAGTCAGAAGGCTGTGGATTCAAGCCTCACAATGACACTTGGAATCACATAGTCTAAACTGACACACCAATGCAGCGCTAGGGGTGTGTTGCACTGTCAAAGTGCTCTGGGACGCTACCCTGCATAAAGGGCGCTATATAAATGCAAGTTGCTGTTGCTGAGGTCCTTTTGAATGAGACATTAAACCAAGGTCCCTTCTGCCTGTATAGTGGCGTTAAAGATCACATAGCAGTATTCAAAAAGAGAAAGGAGTTTCTTCCAATGTCCTGGTTAATAATCACCCTAATAAAATTGGTTGCTTACTCCATGGCTGTTTGTGGGACATTGCTGTGGGAAAATTGGCTGCCGAGTTTTGCCCACAGATTGCACAGTCAAACCACTTTATAGTATATCCTGTGAGGTGCTTGAAGATACCTTGACAATGTGATAAAGCTCTATATCATATGCAACGATTATTTATTATTATTATTAAATCCTTTTAAGCACTTTGAGTCCTACCTACCTGAAAGGTTCTGTATCAATCTCAAAGATTATTATTTTATTATAATGTTATCCTGCAAGCCAGAATCGTCTTCTCTTTGATGTTTTGGTCAGCCAGATGTCTCACACATACAGAAACCCATAACCATGTTTACGAGTATCCAAACCAAATTGAGAAT